ATACCAAGGATGATGTGTTTCACAAAAAAGTTCCCAGTACAAAGGCACTCAAAAATGGTAGTTATTATTTTTTTCAAAAATATAAAATAAATGAATAAAACACATATAAATGCAGAGTTACTAGTTTTCTATCTTTTTCAGCCATTCAGAGTTATCAAGAAACATAGCTAGGCCTTCAACTTAATTTTTATCTTTTCTTATATCATATTTTAAAATTTCCTTGGGTTTGACTACATTTTTATAAAAATATATTTGAACATAATAAATACATGGGCATATCTGTACTTCAAAGGATAATTTGTTATCTCCAAAAATGTTAATTGTTCTAAAATTTGCAGTGTCACATTTAATATTGGAAAAGGCTAATTTGAAGATAATGTGCCAAATAAGAAATAACCAATTACCTCATTTATTGAGAAATGTATCAATACTTATTAAACTTTATTCCATGAATTTAAATGTTAACATAAAAAAATCATTATCTAAGTTGAGACTGCTGATCTTAAATGTAAACCCTTGAAAATGGACCATAAACAAATTTATGATCACATCTTTATGTTAAAAGCTATGTGCTATGTGCATGGCAGTAGAAAGAATATAAGAGTTGAACTAAATGAGTATTGGATTCAAATCGCAGATCTACTATTTACCAACTGTTGAACCTTGGCCAAATTACTTGAATTTCCTAAGCACATAAAGTCTAATTTATGAAATGAAGATAATATCTGTTATTCACCATATGGTTAATGACAAATATTAAATAATATAAACTTAGATAATTGATTTTAAAACCTAGTATGGTGTTTGTCGCTAAAGGCAACTACATTACAAAAACAATCAATCAAGTTAGACACAGAAGATTATCAGAGCTTAGATCCTAGAAAAGGTTAAATGGTGATAGGGACATGGATATCCTCACTTCTCTAACATGGAAAGACAGCAATCCATTCAAATCTGTTTTTGATATTTTATTTCTGACAAGTGAACCAAGTAAAAACAAACTCCTGTTTTTCTTAAATATAAAGAGAATCTGAACATTCCAAAAATATTCAGGCAAAGTAGTGGGTGGAATTCTGTAGAAAGACAGTTTGTTTCAAAGGCTTCAGTAATGCTGGAATTCTTATGTTAAATGATGGGTTTAATGTACAATTTAATATTGTGCTTCAGAGTTTTGAGACATATGACATCTATTCTTTTGTATGTATTTAGTATTACATGAAATGTAAATGGATATAATGTGTTTATTTTATACTGTTTGTGTTGAGCAGGAACATACAAAGCTACATTTGCTTATAACAAATAAAGGATTCCTAGCACACCTGCCACTTGGAAAGAAAAAAGAGCTTTGATCTATGATAGAATGGTTGATTTGTCCTTGGATTGATAAGATTAATAATCACAGTTTACAATTACTAACAGTGCTTTTCCTGACAAGAGACACCTGGAGACCCCACAAATATAAAGCCAAGTGCAACATTTTTAGCAGTTCAATCAGTAAATGATTCAATGAGTTTTTGTATAGGGCTCAGCTGCAAATGAACAATCAGTTTGATTTGTAAGATTTTAAACAGTGTGAAAAATTTCACTGTGAAATTCGAATTATCACTAAATAAAATTTAAAAGTAAAAATATAACAATAACTTTGATCACTATGCCTCCCTGGGGGGAAAAACATGCTAATTTTTACAATAAGTTTAATTCTCTAATTTAAATCTGTTTCCTTTGTATTAGTGAGGTTTTAAAATGGTCCCACTGAAAACAACACATTCATATCCTGTATATGTTTCACAATATTCTGGAGATTTCATTAAAATGATACATAGTATTTATATTTTTATTTAATTCATTTAGAGAGAAAGCTAGAGAGCCTTGGGTATTTCTTTTTTGTAATTCTGTGTACATGGGATCATTGGTATACTGTTAAAAATTGTGCTCCAGATATCATTTTTATCTCTTTCTTATAAAGCTTTTACTACCAATATTAGAAGAAATATCTGTACCTTTTCACCTTTGGGTTGCCTCTAATTTTTCTTTCTAAGATATCATGTCACATCTCTATCTTTTCGGCTTCAACATCTTACTCTCACCTTAAATTCAATGTGTCTAAAACTGAAGTGTTCCTTGACACGAAATTTGACCCTTGCTTTTTACTTTGTTTTCATCATTCCATAATTCTACTTGAAACAGAAACTTAAATTCCAGTCACTGCACTTTCACTCCAAAATTAAATTAGAGACATTTTGAATGAAGATCGGGTGCACAGAGTCTGACACAAATGTCTGTGACTTTTTGCATTTACAATGGAAAAAGAACGGAAGGAAACTGGTGCCTACAAATTCATAAATCTTGGGAAAAATAGACAAGAACACAAACAGAACATGATGGATGTGGTTTGGCAGTTGTTTTTTTTTTTTTTTTTTTTTTTTTCAAAAAGCCTGCTTAAAAGTCAGGTTCAGAGAAGTCTGGAATATACATATAAATTTGATAGTTGAGTATGTACAGAGAAGTGGGAGATAAGTACAGGTAGAGAATCCTCATTGTAAAAATCCTACATCTAAAATGCTCCAAAAACCTTTTAAGCACCCATATGCTGGCACACATGTGCAAAAAGCAAAAACTGGACCCCTTCCTGACACCTTACACTAAAAATAACTCCAGATGGATTAAAGACTTAAACATAAGACCTAACACCATAAAAACCCTAAAAGAAAACCCATGCAAAACCATTCAGGACATAGGCATAGGCAAGGACTTCATGACTAAAACACTAAAAGCAATGGCAACAAAAGCCAAAATAGACAAATGGGATCTAATTAAACTCCAGAGCTTCTGCACAGCAAAAGAAACAATCACTAGAGTGAACCGGCAACCAACAGAATGGGAAACAATTTTTGCAATCTACCCATCTGACAAAGGGCTAATATCCAGAATCCACAAAAAACTAAAGCAGATTTACAAGAAAAAACAACCCCATTCAAAAGTGGATAACCCCATTCAAAAGCATATGAACAGATACTTTTCAAAAGAAGACATATATGAAGCCAGAAAAAAATGCTCATCGTTACTGCTTATCAGAGGAATGCAAATCAAAACCACATTGAGATGCCATCTCATGCCAGTTAGAATGGCAATCATTAAGAAATCTGGAGACAACAGATGTTGGAGAGGATGTGGAGAAATAGGAATGCTTTTACACTGTTGGTGGGAGTGTAAATTAGTTCAACCATTGTGGAAGACAGTGTGGAGATTCCTCAAGGATCTAGAAATAGAAATGTCATTTGACCCAGCAATCCCGTTACTGGGTACATACCCAAAAGACTATAAATCATTCTATTATAAAGATACATGCACACACATGCTCATCACGACACTGTTCACAATAGCAAAGACCTGGAACCAACCCAAATGTCCATCAATGATAGACTGAACAAGGAAAATGTAGCACATATATACCGTGGAATACTATGCAGCCATAAAAAAGATGAGTTTGTGTCCTTTGTAGGGACATGGATAAACCTGGAAACCATCATTCTCAGTAAATTGACACAATAACAGAAAATCAAACACCACATGTTCTCACTCCTAGACAGGTGCTCAACAATGAAAACACAAGGATACAGGGAGGGAAGCATCACACACAGGGTCTGTTGAGGGGCCTAGGGGTAGGACAGTGGTGGGTGGGGAGGTTGGGGAGGAAAAACATGGGGAGAAATGCCAGATATAGGTGATGGAGTGGGGGAGATGGAGGCAATAAACAACCTTGCCATGTATGTACCTATGCAACAATTCTGCATGTTCTGCACATGTATTCCAGAAACTGAAGTACAATAATAATAATAATAAATATGCCGGCACAAGTGGATAATGCCACACCTTATCTTATATTACATGCTGCAGTCAAAAGGCAGATGCATAGTATTAATCATAACAGCAAGGACATGGAATCAACCTAGATGCCCACCAACAGTGGATTATATAAAGGAAATATGGTATATATACACCATGGAATCCTATGCAGCTATTAAAAAGAATTAAATCATGTCCTTTGCAGCATCATGGATGCAGCAGAGGCCACAATCCTAAATGAATTAACACAGGAACAGAAAACCAAATACACGTGTTCTCACTTATAAGTGGGAGCTAAACATTGGGTACATATGGACCAAAAGATGGGTACAAGAGGCACTGGGGACTACTGGAGGAAGGGAGAGGGGAAGGAAGGCAAGGGCTGAAAAACTACCTATTGGGACCAAGCTTACCACCTGGGTGACAAAGCTCAGCATCACTGCAGCATGCTAGCTGCAGTAAACAGAGGTGAGTTGTGGATATGGAAGCCTGTAATCCCAGCACTTTGGGAGGCCGAGGCGGGTGGATCACAAGGTCAAGAGATAGAGACTATCCTGGTCATCATGGTGAAACCCCCGTCTCCACTAAAAATACAAAAAATTAGCTGGGCATGGTGGCGAGTGCATGTAATCCCAGCTATTCAGTAGGCTGAGGCAGGAGAATTGCCTGAACCCAGTAGGCAGAGGTTGCGGTGAGCCAAGATCGCGCCATTGCACTCCAGCCTGGGTAACAACAGCGAAACTCCGTCTCAAAAAAAAAAAAAGTTTAGCCTGAAGGTTGCTATATATGCCGATATCAATGCTTGGAACTCAGCGACTAAAGACAAAGGGTACTTGCCTGACACAAACTCTGGCCTGTGACTATGTTCAGTGATGGTAATGAATAATACGATGACTCTCCAGAACTGAGTATGCCCAGTGAGAAAAATGATGTCTATCCCCCTCACGTGTGCGAAAAATATACCTTCAGGGTTTGTCAGCAGTCTGGAAGTGGATATTATGGAAGTTTTTAACATCAATAATGGGGTTTCTATTGTTCATTCATTGACTGATGGTCAGCTAAGGTAAAGCAGCCTAGCTCTGATGCAAGGTGATTGTCACAATAGTGATGATGTTTACAATGCAGAAAGTGTCTGTAGACAACATGGTAAAAATAACTGGTGGGCTCATTGAAGGGCTAGAACAGTGTGCATTCATAACAGAAAAAAATGATGTCACTTTATAAAATCAAAGAGAGACTTGTAAAACAAAAAGAAAAAAAATGGTTAATGAGCCAGATGAGTCAAGAGGAAATACTTTTCAAAGTCATCCAGAGGACAGGGGCAGTGGCTCACACCTGTAATCCAGCACTTTGGGAGACCAAGGCAGGTGGATCACCTGAGGTTGGGAGTTTGAGTCAAGCCTGACCAACATGAAGAAACCTCGTCTCTGCTAAATCCGAAATTAGCTGAGCGTGGTGGCTCATGCCTTAATCTCAGCTACTCAGGAGGCTGAGGTAGGAGAATTACCGGAACCCAGAAGGCAGAGGTTGCGGTGGGCAGAGGTTGTGGTGAGCCGAGATCGCGGCATTTCACTCCAGCCGGGGCAACAAGAGCGAAACTTTGTCTTAAAAACAAACAAACAAACAAAAAAATCATCCAGAGCCGGATGCGGTGGCTCAAGCCAGTAATCCCAGCACTTTGGGAGGCCGAGGTGAGCAAATCATCACAAGGTCAAGAGACAGAAACCATCCTGGCCAACATGATGTAGCTCTGTCTCTACTAAAAAGACGAAACTTAGCTGGGCGTGGTGGCACGCGCCTGTAGTCCCAGCTACTCGGGAGGCTGAGGCAAGACAATCGCTTGAACCCAGGAGGCGGAGTCGGCTGTGAGCCTAGATTGCGCCACTGCACTCCAGCCTGGGCAACAGCCAGCCTCCGCCTCAAAACAAACAAACGAACAAAAAGGTCATCCAGCAGAGTGTCTCTTCATCTCTAAAAAGCCTGTTTCTTCGTTCCTCAATTCTAATGTTTTTCTCACGTAAAATACATAAAATACAGTGTACATTAACATTTTAATCCAAACACAGTTTTGTAGGTAGAGACTGAAAGGCTACCATTATTTCTGCTGTTGTTTCATAGCTGATAGTGGAATTCTGGGGATGCTATCGTGCTGCTTAGTTACCCTGAGAGCATAACTCTTTTACTATATAATGATATGGGTACTAGTCCATTCTCATATTGCTATAAGGAAATACCTCAGATGGGGTAATTTTAAAAGGAAAGAAGTTTAACTGACTCAAAGTTCCGCACTGCTGGGGAGGCCTCAGGAAACTTAGAACCATGTGGTTGGCAAGGGAGAAACAGGCACCTCCCATACAGGGCAGCAAGTTGGAGTGACTACCAGCAGGGGAAATGTCGGACACTTACAAAGCCATCAGATCTCGGAGACCCACTCACTATCATGAGAACAGCATGGGGAAACTGCCCCCTCGTTCCAATCTCCTCCACCTGGTTCTACCCTGGACGTGTGGGGGCTATGGGGATTACAATTCAAGGTAAGATTTTGGGTGGAGGACACAGCCAAATCATATTAATATGCCACTTTTAAAACTGTTAAGCACTTACGTTTGAGTAAGTCTAAGAAAACAATTGCTTATCAGTAGCATGTACATTCAGAGTCAGGATTGTTCACCTGTTTGGCTGAGGTAGTGATGCCCTCGCTGCTGTTGGGCAGATATGTGAACGGACTTTGTTTCATCACAAAAATATGTAAAATAAAGCCAGGCACAGTGGCTCACACTTGTAATCCCAGCACTTTGGAAGGCAGAGACATGTGGATCAATTGAGCTCAGAAGTTCAAGACAAGCCTGGGGAACACGGTAAAACCCCATCTCTACAAAAAAATGTAAAATTAGTCAGGAGTGGTGGCATGTTACCTGTAGTCCCAGCTACTGGGGGAGGCTGAGGTGGGAGGATGGCTTGAGCCCAGGAGGTGGAGGTTACAGTGAGCCGAGATTGCACCACTGCCCTCCAGCCCAGGCAACAGAGCTAGACCCTGTCTGGAAAATTTAAATTATTGAAAATATTTTATAAAATTCCTTCAGCATTATAAGGTGTATATGAAACATAAATGAATTTCATGTTTACACATGGGTCCTATCCCTTAGCTATATTATGTATATGAAAGTCTTCCAAAGTCCAGAAAGAAAATCCAAACTCCAAAACACTTCTGATTCCCAGCACTTTGGAAAGAGATACCTGTAGATAAGTGATCCTCACTACGGTCTTTCTTTTTTTTTGAGACGGAGTTTTGCTCTTGTTACCCAGGCTGGAGTACAATGGCGTGATCTCGGCTCACCACAACCTCCGCCTCCTGGGTTCAGGCAATTCTCCTGCCTCAGCCTCCCGAGTAGCTGGGATTACAGGTGCGCGCCACCATGCCCAGCTAAGTTTTTTGTATTTTTAGTAGAGACGGGGTTTCACCATGTTGACCAGGTTGGTCTCGACCTCTTCACCTCGTGATCCACCCGCCTCGGCCTCCCAAAGTGCTGGGATTACAGGCGTGAGTCACCGCGCCCGGCCCCACTATTTGGCTTTCTAAAAGAAATCCCAGACTTACACGTCTCTTTTGAATGCCTGTATTTTCTATCCAAAACTTCTCTCTTCCTCCAAGGAACAGCAAAGAGGTCTATATGGCTGCGTGGAACATGCTAGGCAGCCCTACCTTAGGGACTCTACATTTTCACTTACATCTATTTGAAAAGCTACACCCCAGATATGCACATAGCTAACTCTCATCTCCTTCAAGTTTTTGCTTAGCTGTCTCCTCTTTGAAATCTACCTTGAGAATTCTTTTTAAAAAGGCAAACTCCATCCACCATCCTCCACATTCCCCTTATCATTTTTTTCACAATTCCTTTTAGCAAATCATTGTTTACCAAATTATAGTAATTTTTGTCTGTTTCCACTTACACCTAAAACTCTGTGAAGGCAGGGAACTTTTAATGTGTTCCTTGATGAATTCCAAGCACCTAGATTAGAATTTTTCTATAATAAAAGCTGGATAGATATTGGATGAATGAATAAAGAAAGGAAAGTATAAAAACAGGAGGTAAAAACCTAAGGCTAGGCTATTTGTTAATAGCAGTATTTAAGTGAACAAAGAACAGGCGAAGAAGTAATGATCACAGAAGTCGTGGTAAAACTAAATAGAGTGACAATAAGATTCAAGCCCAGGGAGAAGTGAGTTTTAAGGAATTAGTTGTCAATCATTTCAGCAAAGGAAAAAAGAAAGACGTTCAGAAAATTTTACAACTAGACATTTAATGTTTATTTGAGAATGGAATTGCAAAGATGACCGAAATTTTGATGAAATGACTTTTTAGAAATATGAAACATGAGAGGAAGAGCCAATTTTCAATAAAATATTGAAGCCAACACCAGATCGTTTAAGTCTCATCTAAAAACATAGAAGTAGAATGGGAGTCGGAGGAGAGAAACGACATACGGATTCTTCTACTAACAAGCTGCACTGAATAGAATGAAGCACACAGTAATAAGAGATAATTTCCTCAAAACGAGTAAGTTTTAAGGAAAATTATATGCAGAGGCAAAGAAGTAATACAGACTAAGAGGTACTGACTATTTACTTAAAACTCTCAATGGTACAGCTAAGTCATTTTCCCATGATTTTCCATAAATGGTTGCCTTTCTGATTGAGTTAATGTTTTCCTAGTTATGCCATCAAGTAGTTCTCTGAAGAGCTCTTCTTAGAACTGTACCTTCCAAAACATCAGGAGATGAATTTGACATACAGACATTTCCCTCACCCCAGATAAGAGATGACCAGCTAGCTCAGCTGAGCACAGTGACAGTCAAGTCTAGGCACACTCACCCTTTTCTGTCCAAAGCAAGAGTGTGGAGTAGTGGGTTTTTTTTGTTGTTTTTTCTTTTTTTTTTTTTGAGACAACCTTGCTCTGTCACCCAGGCTGAAGTGCAGTGGTGTGATCTCACCTCACTGTAGCCTCTGCCTCCCAGGTTCCAGCGATTCTCCTGCCTCAGCCTCCAGAGTAGCTGGGATTACAGGCACCCACCACCAGGCCAGGCTGGTCTTGAGTTCCTGACCTCAGGTGATCCATCTGCCCTGGCCTCCCAAAGTGCTGAGATTACATACATGAGCCACTGCACTCAGCCTGAAGCAGTGTTTCCTTTATTCATGAATTGAGTGAACCTTACTCCTCTCTAAATAAGCAGGAGCCATCCACTCATAGATGGTCTCCCTACATATCAAACAAGAAAGCTGGAGCCCCAGCTGCCAGGGATAGACTTCAGAACCCCACAGAGGCATGCTGAGATCACCTACAGCTGTTATTGCCCACAGCAGAAAGGTAAGGAAAGTCTTCTGAGGCATCAGTGATAGCCAGTGTGACTGCAGAAAAAGAATGAGACAAAGCAAGGAATATGACACCACACACACGCACATAGGCACACAAAGAGTTATGACCAAGTGTGATAGAGGGCTGTACTTGGATAAGATTCTGGCTGAATCTTTAAATTTTATTTAGATTCTTCTCCAGGATGGAAGCAGAGGGGTCAGCTATCCACACGTATCCCTGATACGCACTGATTTAACTTAGCTTTTCTCCCTTTATCAACATAAGGACCACTTCCACTAAAGTCACAGAGAATGCTTATTCTTGCTTGCTTTACTCATTTTACTGTTAGGTAATTTGTCCTGCATTTATTGTTACATTTTTATTTAAATATTTTGTTATATAATGTATTAGAAACTTTTGAAAACAGGGCCTTACTTTTATATGATTATTTTGGATAAAAGGAAGATAATCAGACTCAAAGACAAAAGTAGAGTTAAAGACTGAATGTCAAGGCAAAGGCAGAGCACTAAGACAGAGAGCACCTTGGCCTTGATGACATCACTGCCTCACAGAACTAACCAGGCCTGGAGCCTGGACAACAAAATGCCTCAGTTTTCTCATTTATAAAATTGAAAAAATTATACTGCCTACCTTATGGGCTATTAAGAAGATTACAAGAGTCAATATATGTGAAGTGCTTAGAATAATGCCTGACATATAATAGAAGGAGGGAGAAATTGAAAGAAATGAAAGGAGGAAGGAAGAGAAGAAACAAAAGAAGGGAGGCAGGAGAGAGGGAGGGAGGGAGGAACGGAGGGAAGAAAATGCTTTGAGAGAAAGTAATATGCAGTTTCAAATAAGATTATTATAAGAGGAGGCCTAACTTACCAAAGAAATTTGAGGATGATAAATCTCTGAGAGTACCAAAAAAAAAAAGTTATGTCAGAGGTACAGATTAAAAAATGAGAGGAGGTACTATAAAAAGATGCTTGAACCATGCACAGTGGGTCACACCTACAATCCCAGGTACTTGGGAGACTGAGGTAGGAGAATCATTGAGGCCAGGAGTTTGAGACCTGGGCAACATAGTGAAACCCCATCTTTCAAAATGTTTTTAAAAGATTAGCTGGGTGTGGTGGCACATGCCTATAGTCATAACTACTCAGGAGGCTGAGGTGGGAAGATCACTTGAGCCCAAGAATTCAAGGCTGCAGTGAGCCATGACCGTTACCATTGTACCCCAACCTGGAGAACAGAGCAAGACCCCATCTCTGGGAAAAAAAAAAGGACACTCGAAAGTGATAAATAAGGGAATTGAGATTCAATACAGAAACACTGATGTTAATACCAAAGAGACAAATATGCTTGAATGAGTTTTGAGAGTACTGACTCACCACTGCTGTGTGGGTCTCCTTATATTCAATGAAACTCACATCAAATAAGAACAGAGTTTATATTTGATACTAATTTTTATAGTTCTTAACAGTTAAAGCATATTACGGTTACTTTAAAAATCTTAGTTATAATTTTTTTAAAAACAGCAAAATTATCTACTCCGGTGGAAACCATATTCAATTTTCGTATACTTTTTTTCTGATGTAGCTTCCATATATAATAAATGAGCTGTAAATTCCTATTCTTATATTTGTTCAAAATTTGGTTTCAATACATTTGAAATCACATTTTTAAACTACATATTCTATTTTGATTATTAAAACAAACTTCAAAGGATGGAGTAATACTTATTTCTAAGATGTAATTCACTCCATTTTAGTTTTATTCGACTTGTTGATAAGCCATTTATAAATTACAAAACAAATTCACATGATGCAACTGATCTAGAATTTTTAAGGCCTTTTCAGCTTTACTTACTGATGCTTATGACAGATTATTTACTTTCTTTTTATCAAGGATATAATATTATATATATTTTTTTTCCTCAAAGCAAGTAGTAGCAGATCTGGAAATTTAGGCTTCAGGAAGTCAAGGAACAGATGAATTGTGTAACCATGAGCAATTTCACTTTCAATCAACTCAATATATCAACCAAAATGCTCTGCCATTTGAATAAGCATTTACTAAAAACCCATTGTGCTCTATGATTTAGCAAAAATCTTCTGATAGGGGAAAAACATTATCAACATTAACCACTAAAATCTTTTAATAGTGTCCTTATCATGCCTTAACAGCATAGCAATAAAAAAGAGGCAAATGAAGGAGGAAATTTTTAAGATGTAAGATATGGTCTTGAAATTGGAACTGGAAAATCTATTATGTGTGGTCATCAAATAAATACAATCTGTGGTGATAGCTTTTGCTATGAAAATTCTGAATACTAAATTTTAAGCTCCTTAACCTCTCAAATTTGCTCTTGCCTGGCAGTACCCCCAAGGGCCAGACACATATACACCAAATGGCAAAAAATATTGGTTTAAGATGAACTTGAAAAAACGTCATGAGATGAATGTGAAAAGAAAGGAGTTTCATACTCAGAAAGTTCTGACTCAGATAAATCAGCCAAAAGCTAGTTCCCAAGGGGAATAAAAATTAATGAGCTAAAACTTTGTAAAAGTGCTTGAAATCTCTAGTTCCCAAAAGCAACATTTAGCTTAATGTTCACAATCAACAGGGTGCTTCTATGAGTGCCCTGGCCCAAATCACCTTATGGATCAGTATTTAAAATTCACTTCCCTTTCTTTAAATTGTTTTTCTATTTGATTTTGACTATTCCTGGTTTTTATATTACCTGCAGAATTTATCTCAGTTTGCATATACAGGAATTGTGGGTTTTTTTATTAGTTTTTCAAATGTGTTTCTTTAGAAAAGAACATGATGCCCTTAGCTCCCTTGAGGAAGGCATCATAATACCAAGTATCCTGAAGTCCCAGCTAAATAAAAGTCCAGGGTTGTTCACTCCAGCTTTGGTTATAATGAACAGCCAGAGGTAACCAGGGACACCACTGGACTTAGAAATCTAGAATCCTTCCATAGACTCGGGGATAGGCCTCAGTGTTACACATTTAAGCTCATCTAGAGCTGCAAAGATCTGCCAAGATACTATTATGTTGTGGACTTTAGAAGACTGATCCTACCAATTAAAGCTTCTGGAGACTTTTTAGAATTGACTTCACCAGATACATAAGGTCAGCTGAGAGTAAGTCTGTATTCTGAATCTTATACTTTGGACCTTCCCAGGAACATCTAGAATTCAAGGCTGTTGGTAACTGCTCCGGTACTCCCTTGTGTTAATCTACTTAGGTAGGCACTCTAGTTATTGACTACTCAATAAACTGATAGAAACAATGGTTCAAACTTGCCTACTCCCTGAAAGATGTTGTTTTGGTACCACAGGAAAAATTTCACTAGAAAAAAAAAGTGAGTCATCTTAGATTAAACAGATACTTCAAGCTCAAAATCTGTTTTTGCAATATTTTATATTTTGAGATTAACTTTTTGAAATATAAAATTTGCTAGTCAATAAAAGTATCTCTCAGAAGCAAGAAAGCATTAATATTTATTTTCAATGTTTCCATGCTAAATATCATGATATATAATTCTCAGACACAGAAATAGTGTAATATTTGATTCCACTGCTAGTCAAATAACAGATTTCAAACATGATATATTGGTACTTTCAAGTCAAGAAAACTGGGGGAAAAAAATGAAGGAAATAAAGTCATTACAGGAAAAGACCAAGCAGGGCAGAGGCATCATCATTATCGGCAACATCCACTGAGATTGTGGTTTATCATGTTTGGTGCCACATGTACCAAGAGATACAAGGAAATTGCCTGCATGAAGTTTGCAGTTTTATTTGGTACATAGAGCCTTAAAAATGTTTAATGTTTTACTGTTACCATGTAAAAGTTCCAAAGGGGTGACCAAGTCAGAACTTCTGCATCTCAGAAAATGATAGACAAGAGCAGAATTGGTTGCTTGAGGGGTTGAAGGAAAGGATAACCTAGACTGGCAGAGGGAACAGAGTAGAAGCAAAGTGGATGTGACAATGTGCACATCAGATTCAGAGAATAATAAACAGGCTTTGCCTAAATGCAGAGTCCAACAGAGGAAGAGCAATAGTTTGAAGAGGTAAGATCTAAACTGTAGAGGATCTTGATCTTCAGGGACTCTTGCTTCTCTATTGCACAATTTTCCTATCATTTTCCAAATATACGTAACACCAATCAAACCATGTTAATACTTTT